ATCAACTATTTTATAAAGCATAACATAGTTACGGTTCCGATTTTCAACCAATTGAGGGTGACATAAATAAGCTTACTGTCCTGTAAAAAAAATTTGAGTGATCACAAAAAATTAAAATCTGGCCTACAGTGATGTTGAAAAATAAACTCCAGAGCCCTCAGTAGAGGGACATAGTTGCTCAATGTATAGAATGTTGACCTGATTCTGTATTTTATTGTGCACCTATACTTGAGGACGAACTTGCCTTGATTTTGCCTTAAAATGATACATAATGTAACAAGAGCTTGGTCTGTCATGTAACACAGATACTTTGCATGAAGGGGAAGCGTTTTGCTGTAATTGATGGCTACGGCTAAGCATCTAAGATTTATGACCTTGAGTTTGACTTTGACCTTTCATCTAAGGTCAAATGTCACATCACCAATATGGGTTCCTATCTGATTGTAATAACAAACTATGTGTTTATGTTACACCTTTTCCAAGTTATAGTGAATTGTGATGATTTAAGGCCTTCAGTGTGACCTTGACCTTTGTCTCAAGGTCATATGTTACATGACCAGTCTATAGGCATTGAATGTCTTCCTAAGTTAGTATACTGAATTTTGGTCTTTTTGTGCATTTTCAGTCATACAGAGCTTTTCTGGGAAATTGACCTCTGTAGCAGTCACCAATGCATATATTGACCTCAAAATCTAATCACTCTGAGAAGAGACCATATTGAGGTCATATATGAAGTTTCAGGTTCAAACTTCTCTCCTGTAAAGCACTAGACTGTTAACAGACAACAAATAAATAAATAAAAAATCCCCCCCACACACATACAAACACACGGGCACTATTACTCTATAGCTGCCCATTGATGGGCAACTATAATAAAAAAAATAAGAAATAGTGAGACATTGTGCCACCCCAGTGTGAGTGATGGCTTCAGTCAGGCTTCACTTCTGCTTAATAAATCTATCCATGTAAAATGCAAGTATCAATCAAGCCAAATCATTTATTTCTCACCTACTGGCCACATGCTTCCTCCATTTAGAGCCAAAGCGTACCACTCTGACTTCACCCTGGCCCTGGTCACACTAATAATCCACAGGACACCTGGCAGCACAAACACCACCATTCGTCCATCAGTGCCCTGACAGTCTAATAAACCTAACATCAGAGCGACACATAACACACATTCACACCGGCCACTTATATCAGCCTGCAGGGCACCACACGAGTCTGTACACATTACACATTCACACTTTCTAGAGGCCTTTATCTTCAGAAGAGGCAGAGCTCTGAATCACCCAGCCCCTAGAGGAGGAAGAGGAGAGAGAGCAACTGCGAGGAAAGAACCGACAGGAGGAGCAGATAAGGAGCATCGGCACACAGATCAGACAAGCGAAAGGGGAGAGGCATACATTGATCTCTGAGATACAGATTGGTGAGTCAAGCTGGCTGCGGACGAGACAAAGAGTTTACTGGAGGAGGAGGGAGAGGTCAACGTGGAGCAGGCCAACGGGGAACCAGAGGGCCCGGTAGGCAAGCAGCTCTCCGGGTCACGCAACCTGATGGTGCGAGTGGAGCTGGAATGGGACATCCCCATGGCGGTGACGCTGCCCATCCAGGTGCAGCCTGACCCGGTAAACCAGCCATTCCCCTTCCTGGACACCACTCTGGCCGACCTGGGCATCCAAGAGTGAGTAAGTGTGAGGGAGCTTCAGGGAGATTTATCATAACAAGTGTGTGTTCATGTCATTTGTGTTTGTCACAGGTCAGAGGTGAAGGAGAGGGTGGTGTGGGTGGACACCAAGAAGACACAGGTGAAGAACAAAGCAGGGAAGCTGAAGGAGAAAGAGATCACCATCCTCGAGGTGAGACTTCAAGATCCATCCACAGGGATTTAAAAGCGAAGTGGAATGACGCCAGTGTGTTGGTTTGGTTTTAGGTGCGAGTTAAAGCCCAGAAGCCTGGAGACAAACAGCTCCAGGAGGTCCTGTATAGCACTGAGGCCCACACCGATCGCTCCTTCTGCCGCACCGGGATGAACATTGTGCCCTGGAAACAGAGATACGCAGGTCTGGAAGCAGCTTAAATCCATTCAGAGACAGAAAAGAATCTGTAAAGCTTTTAATGTCATTTCTGCTGCTGATAAAAGGGTCACCTCAGGGTTTCTGGATTCAGATATCTCCCAAAAAAAGGAAAATATATCTGCGGTGTGCCACCGCGCCTCAGCAGTCGCTCAGTGACATCTCAGATAAACGGGTGAACTGTCAGGCCGATGTGCTGTGCCGCAGCCACCAGCGTTGACATGAGATCATCCAAAATATTACAGCAGTGTCCAAACAAAACCTAGGACCTCAGCGGCGTCAGGAATTTATGACGATCCGGTGGACTTGTTTGAATAAATACCGTTTAATTTATCTCTTGTAGCAGAATTAAATTATTCTGAACAGAAAACAAGGGTTGTTGTGACTTAGATCAACAAACTAGGGATGAAGCCAACAATCAATGAGGAAACAGAGAATATTACTGTTTATTTTCCTTTGCTGTGTTTGCACCTTCACATGGTTGCGTTCACAACTGACAAAGATGTGTGGAATTTGTCCCTCTCTGCATCAACACTTCCAGACATTCACGTGTGTGTCAAGTGGGAAATGTGCTTAAAGATCCTATTTTATACCTTTTTTTTTTACAAGTTAATAGAACTCTTACCTCAGAATGTTCACTTTCAGCTCAAAGTTCTGCACAGGTGACTTCTAATGTGCCTACAATATTATAGGTTTTAGGTCTGGTCATGTTTTGTGGATCTCCAGTAACCGGGGACAGTTATTGCTATATTAAGAAATGGATTTTACATCACATGAGCCCCTTTAAAAGTTGTTCTCTGCCCGTGTGTGCTTTAGGAGAGAACGGACTGGCACCAGTGCAGCTGACGATGGCGTTGGACGTGGAAAACCAGCAGCCTGGTGTCACTGAGGATCAGGGACAACGGGAGATCTAAGGAGCAGCAGAATCACCATAGTCCAAAATAAAGGAGGAGTGCGATTTCATGGGAATCTACAAGCTGGCCATTTGGTTACTCTTTTTGTTAGGAAACAAAAAGGGCGAAGTAAATGTTCAATTGTCCACAGCAAAGCACATTTTTGATGCAAGTTTGCATTTATTTAGAGGCTTTAAAAGGTCGTCACTTTCGTTTTCTGCAGAGACCGAAAGGCTTGACAGTAACTGCACAGTGAACGGCAATATCCTGTTAAATATTTGAAGCATTAGTTAAAAAAAAAAAAAGATAAACATTTTGTTCAATTTGTATTGCAGGATACTGTTTCTAAATACTAAAAAGTAGCATCAAAGTTCTGCTGCATATGGTCACAGGTTGAGTTGCTGAGCATTAACAGTTTACTAAGGGTAAAGTAAGTGCTGTTTTTAATAACAAATGAGCATATGTGCAGTTAGTCAAGAGAGCTGTATTGGTTGTTAGCCCCATTACAGACGCCACTTAGTATGCAGCAGTGAAATCTCCAAATAAGGCAATGTTAGAAGAGAGCACCTCAACTCCTGCTGATTTAAAGAGGGAGATGGGAATGAAAAATTGTATTTACCAGGAGACTAAATTCGTTGCTTCACACTGACAGCAAAGCCAGAGGTCTGTCCAAATAGTGGAAAAGGGGCGGAGTAGCAATTAATGGTAACACATTACAGGAAAAACAAAATAGAATACACAGGATGGTAAACCAGAATTCGTAAAATAATAAAACTTCAACATGCACGTAAACAAATAAATTAAAAGTTAATACTCAGAAGCAGAACTGCTGAATGTAATAATAACCGTAGCAGAATGGTTCAAGTGCTGTATTTAGATCATTTTAGAGGGAAACTTCACACACAACTGTCCCGTTTTCCACCTATAGTACAAAAATTTGTGGCCTCGGCCAGCTGTCACTGAGGAGTGGAAGGGTGTGTGAGGGTTACGAGGCAGTGACGGCTGCACTCAGTATGGCGTGCTGCTCTGCTGGAAGAGATGTCACAGCTGCTTGGAACTCTGCACAGTGGTTCTGGGCAAATTGTTTCATCAGTAGAACTGCAGTGTTCTGGGTTTCTGTGGAGAGGCAGACTAAGAGTTAGGGATGACGATGAAACACTGAAAAGAGATTACTAAAAGAGGAAAGAACTGATAAGAGTGCAGACTATGCAGTGTCTGACTGAGGATGATCTGTCAGATAAAATGTCAAAGTGTGTCAGCTGTGCTTTGTTTTCTGCTTTTGATAACACTGGAAGCACAATAATTGACTGACTGGTGACTCTCTCAGTGCCTTCTAAGAAAACAGGCTTCCTGTTATGAAAGAAATTTTCACCTTTATTGACATTCTTGTTGCCCATGACGTGACTGGACGCAGCAACTATTGGCTTCATTAGTTTCACAACCTGAAAGGGAAAATCAGAATTAAAAAAACAAAAACATGGTTGCATTCAAAATCTAAATCTGTGGACTAAATGTAATGTGTGAGATGCCACAGTAAAGGATTTTCATCTGACCACAAATCTGCTCTGAATGTTTTGGTTTCTACATTGTGTCCCCATTTCTTTAGGGTTAGGATCCTGACGTGATCTTATGGTGGATTGTAAAAAAAATACTGTTTAACAAGCAACATTTAATTAAAAAAAATATTTCAAGACAGATTGGCCTGCTGTTGGTCCATACGAAGCATCATTCTAAATATCTGTACAGCTGGTCTAGCATGATTAATGTAGACTAATCACACGTCCTGCATGTGTTTGTTATCATCATCTTAGTAATAATTATTATATTTTCCCAGACCACATACAGACAGACAGGATTTTTATTAAGTATTACAATTTATAGCTTGGATCACAACAGAGGCACACTTTTTTTTTTACACATTCAATGGAAATGTTAATGGCAGATATAAATGGGCTTTCTGCTGTACCAGAGCAGGACTGTGTGTGTAGAGCATAGCCAGACAGCTAAACACCGTGTTGTTCTCCTCCATGTCCTCTTTGAGTGGAAGATGAGACACCAGAGCAGGCACAACCTGTTAGAGAGCACACTTTGTTATTTGAATGGACTACCCATACAGAAATTTTACAGCACATCGTGGGTCTTCTGCTGTTCGTGGAGTTTGCAGTGAATATCCTACTGTTGACTATACATTTAAAAAAAAAAAAAAAAAAAACCATTAGTTGGCCAAAGTCTGCTTGATAGGACGTACCTGCTCCAGAGGGACAGCTTCCACATTGCTCAAGATCATCCTGCAGAGAGCACCACAGAGGTTGTCAATCACCCTGGCATCTGATTCCTTAGTCAGCAGGTTGGAAAACACAGACAGCATCATGGGATAGTCTCTGGAACACACTTAGCTAAGGACCAGGCCTTGGGTCATATAATACATTAAACAAACAAAAAACATTGACGATAAAATTGATATAAAACACTTATTTAAGACAGAATCACACTCAGCTAAGAAGGATACGATACAACAATGGGTCCAGCAGCCTGAGCCAGGCATCCCAGTCCAAACACGCTGTTGTTGCGAACCTCAGGATCGCTGTCCCTCACTCCAGCCACCAGCACAGGGAGCAAGCGGTTGGACAGTCGGCCCGCCACTCCTCGGCCCCCAGGCGCACTCACTAGAGCTTGGAGGATTTCTCCAATTGTACCCAGAGAGAAAGATCGCTCCGCCACCGTGCCTGTGGATTTCTTTTAAGAAAGGAAAAGTGTGAGTGTGACAGTAACCAAATAGGATGCATCTTACACATCTTACACCTTAAGTGCATTTCAATTGCTTGTAACACATCAAACTGGAGGACTTCATTGGGACTGGGATCCTGCAGGTCATGAGGAACACAACAAATCTCGCAGGAGTGGGCGGTCTTAACTTTGCTGCTGTTGGAAGCAAGCAGTCAAAATATTCACTTGAGAGAAGATCAAATCAGGTTCTTAAAATTCTAAGTAAAGCAAAGTCTGTGAATAGAGATATTTTTTTGTTACTGACAATAACAGAAGAGTCTGACTTAGTTGCGGCAAGTGTGCAAAGCACAAATCTGGGATCATGCAAGTATGAAGTGCATATATACTACATTAGAATGACTAATTCTTATGAATGCAGTAATAATTGAAACATTTAATTACTAGCATGTATGGATCACCTTATTTACACTACATAGTACAATAAAGTTTTTTTCCTGTTGTACAGGGGAAGATACAAAATCTGTGGATCTCTATTGTTTGAGCATGAATGGTCAAAATGTTTGACAGGAGCAGGGGGCACGGGTCAGAAATCCAGCAAGATTAAATACACTGTCCAATGCAGAGCTCCAGAAATGTTTCAAGGCAGATGTCTTTGCTGCAGCTGAGTACTTTGTCAGTAAGAAGTAGCTTGTTTTACAGATGTGAAGCACCTCATGGATACAGAAAAGATGTTATCTTTCTGCTACTCCAAACTTCCACTTTTTCTTTGAAGGTACAAGCTGATACTTATAGATGACACGCTAATCCATAATCACTTGCCTTTAAAACTGCTGAGCTGTGCAGGTGGTGATACCAAGCATCCTTGTTTCTATGAAAGTGATGACATTTTCAAGCAACAAATGCCACCTTTTTTCATTTAAGCAGTCAGTCTCTCTGAGACTGAGCTTGTAGTTCCATTTAGATCATTTCCCTCCTTGCTGCACTTTGTAAAGGATCAGCAGCTACAGTGTTAACAGCTGCAGAGGACTGGGAAAGACTTTTTTAAAAAACCCAAAGTGAAAGAGTAAGTAGGCTTCTGTGTCCGAGTCAGTGTGTTTAAACTCACAGTTTTGCCCATGATGAGAGGCAGCAGGTCATTGAGGAAGGGGGCAAAGCTGTCAGCAGGAACAGCAGAGGCCACCAAGGGGATTCCCTCTCCTGCAAACTCCTGGAGCATGGCATCGTATTCGGCCTGAAACAGACAGCACATAAACACAAAACACACTGAATAACTGGACAAGAAAAAAAAATAACATAGAAAAACAAAAACAAAAAAATGCACTTATGGAGCTTAATAAAAAAAAAAGTGCTGAAAGATTTTTTCGAATGTAGTTGCTAGAATCCTTCACTCGTATACTTTAGACATTTTGGCAGATACTTTTATATTGACTGTATCAGTGTAGTCAATGGACACTTAAATGTGGGAGGTCATAGAACATACTGAAGCTCTTGTGCTTCCTTTGGAGTGCAATATTTTCTCCATTCACCTTCACAGGATACATCATCGTGTTGCATCCAGTAACATATTCATCAGTGTACAGTATAAAAATTATATATAAATCTGCCCTAATTTGGTGGCAGTCAATAACAGGTCACTTGTATATAGCATGTGTAAACAGACGCTAATGTTCATAACGGATTTGCAGCACCTGTTGATCTTCATCATCAGCTTCATCGCCACCATCCTGACAAGTCATCTAAGTGGACAAAGAGAAAACAAATTTTAAAAAAACAATGATTGGAGGGTTTTTACAACTCAACATTCATCTGGTAATGTTGAAAGTTATTTTAGCAAACTTAACTTCGACAAATAACATTTTAAAATCGTCTCACCTTTTTCTTGAGCACGTCACGGATGACATAGCTGATCTCTTTGAGGCGTGATGGGTTTCTGAAAACCTCCCCCTTGCAGGACTTGATGACACTGTTTATGGATTCCAGGACACTCATTACAACTTGACGCTCAGGCTCTGTTCGCACTGTTTCCACAAAGCAAGGAAGCACCACTTCCAGCAACTTCAACAGGGCTGCATGAGGGAAACAAGAGGTACAGCAATGACAGGCAAAATTAGATAAAGGCAACAGCACTGATTACTGTTTGACAGTCTTACAAAACTAAGAACATTTCTGAGTTATCTTGTTTCTGTCTTATTTGCAATTGGATATATTCCTGCAGTATATGTACTATACATCAGTTTACAGTCTTGTTGCATATGCCTGGATTTTGGTAATTAATTTTCACTACAGCAGACAGC